AACGGGAGGAAATGTGTTAAAAGGGGGTAATGGGGGGAAATGTGGGGTTAAAAAGGGGGAAAAATGGGGGAAATGTGGGATAAAATGGGGTTTTTGGGGTTTTTTTTTGGGGGGGCTTTTTTCTTTTTTGGGGGGGTTTGTGGGGTGGGGTTTGGGGTTTTTTGGGTTTTTGGGGTCTCACCGTTCAGGCAGTAGTGCAGGTGGCAGTGATCTTTGGGGTGTTCTGGGGGATTTTTTGGGGTGTTTTTTGGTATTTTTTGGGGTCTCACCGTTGAGGCAGTAGTGCGGGTCGCAGCGATCCGCCCGGCGCTCGCAGTTGGAGCCGCGGAAGCCGGGCGGGCAGCGGCAGCTGTACCCGGGGCTCCCGGGGGGGCTCCCGGGGGTCCCGGCCCGGGGGTCGGGGGCGCAGGCGCCGCCGTTGAAGCACGGCCCGAGGGCGCAGGGCGAGGGGGGCACCTCCGGGAGGGGGTACGGGACCCCTGGGAGGGGCTCCGGGACCACCGGGAGGGGGTTGGGGACCCCAGGGATGGGCTCCGGGACCACCGGGAGGGGGTTGGGGACCCCCGGGATGGGCTCTGGGACCCCTGGGAGGGGGTACGGGACCACCGGGATGGGCTCCGGGGCCACCGGGATGGGCTCCGGGACCACTGGGGGGGGATCCGGGGCCACCGGGAGGGGGTTGGGGACCCCCGGGACAGGCTCCGGGACCCCTGGGACAGGCTCCGGGACCCCCAGGACGGGCTCCGGGGCCACTGGGAGGGGATCCAAGACCTCTGAGACCCCCAGGATGGGGTTGGGGACCCCCGGAACGGGCTCCGAGACCACCGGGAGAGGCTCCGGGGCCACCGGGAGGGGATCCAAGACCTCCGAGACCCCCGGGCGCGGCTCCGGGAGCCCCGGGAGAGGCTCCGAAACCCCCGAGGGATGATCTGACATCCCCGGGAGGGGATCCGCCAGCACCGGCAGCGGCTGCGGGACCCTCGGGAGGGGCTCCGGTGCCCCCCGAAGCTGCTCCGGGAGCCCCGGCGGCGGCTCCGGGACCGGGAGGCGCTGTCGCGGCGGCGGCGAGGACGGGGACGGGGCTGCCGGTGTCGCCACCGGGGCCACCGGAGCCGCCGCCGGGGGGTCCGGGGCCACCTCCGGGGCCACCGGAGCCGCGGCCGCGGCCGGTGCTTCCACGGCCGTCACCGGTGTCGCCGCCGGAGCCGCCGGTGCCGCCAGGCTGTCGCAGCCGCTCCCGGGGCCCTGCGGGGACAGCGCCGTTACCGGGGCCGGGGGTCCCGGGGGGTACCGGGAAGGTCCCAGGGGAGTTCTGGGGATACCGGGGGGGTCCCGGGGGAGTCTCGGGGGGGGTCCCGGGGATCCCGGGGAAGGTCCCGGGGGTCGCACTCACCGAGCAGCCGCCGCCGCCGCCGCCGCAGGCGCTGGGGGGGGCACAGGGACCCCGACACCCCCCTGGGGAGACAGAGGGGGTCAGGGGGACCCCGAACCCCCCTGGGGGGACCCCAACCCCCCCGGGGGGACAGAGGGGGGGGCTCAGGGACCCCGAACCCCGCGGGGGGGGTCCCGGGGTGGGGGGCTCAGGTTTGTATTTCGGGGGGGGGACTCACCGGGGGCGCAGCAGCGGCTCCAGCAGCGTCGGGGGGCGCAGGGGGGGCGGGGGGCGCGGGGGGGGGAGGGGCAGCGCAGGCGGGTCCCGAAGCGCAGCCCCCCCCCCGCCCCCCCCCGCCACGGCCCCCCCGGCCGCAGCCGCGGCCGCGACACCGCGCGCCCCAAAAGCCTCAAGGGGGGTCCTGGGGGGGGGCGGGGGGGTCAGCACCGGCAGAGACCCCCGGGACCCCCCCCGAGACCCCCCCCGACACCCCCGGGCTCAATTGAACCCCCCCAACCCAAAAAATCCCCCCCAAAAATCTCCTTTTGTTCCCCACCCCAAAACCACCGGGTTGTGCCCCAAATTTCCTCCCCAACCCCAAATTTCTCCCAAATTTCCCCCCTCAACCCCAAATTTCCTCCCACAACCCCAAATTTTGCTCCCCCAGCCCCAAATTTCCCCTCCCCAACCCCAAACTTACCCTCCAACCCCAAATTTCCCCTCCCCAACCCCAAATTTTGCCCCCAGCCCCAAATTTCCCCTCACCGGGGGCTCCGCTCTCCTCCAGCCGCCAGGACTCCACCACGAGCGAGACGCTGCCCTGTGGGGGTGCGAAATTGGGGGGGGGGGGCGCGAAATTTGGGGTGGGAGAAACGAAATTTGGGGGGGGGAACGGAATTTGGGG